CCGCGGCCAAGGTCAGGGCCTCCCGCCGAGGCCGGGGAGCTTCCCGCTGGCCCCGTGCGGCTGTCCGCGCGTTTGCCGGGTCCAGCGGGCGCTGCGTCTCTAGGCGGCGTGCGGAGAGGACGACCGCGGGTCGCTGGCCGCCGCCGCCTGCCCAGACCCCAGCCTGAGAGCGTCCTGCTCGGCTGCGGGGACTCCGCTCCCGTGTGTGTCTGAAGAACAGAAAAGCTCGTGCACACGGCGCAGAGCTCCTCTGCCTCGGCGCGGCCCTGCCCTCCGCACCCCGCGCGATCGATCGTCGTGTAACTCCAGGCGTGTGCGCAGCTCGTGCTGGGGAGCTCGGTGCGGTAGGGTGACTGTCTGTGCCCGGCACGACGGCACCCCCGAGCCTAGAACACTGCCTTGCGCGCGGTGGACGCTCGACAAATCCTTGTAGGTTGTGTTTAGAACGTGTGTCCCGCTTCTGACAGGTGAAGTAACTATCAGAAAACAAAGCGTTTCAGGGCTTGGGTGGGGGGAGGGCCAGCTTTATTTTACATACAATGAAGTTGACCCGAGTTTAGGTTTATAATTTCATGGCAGATGTTTACTGGGTGCTAGCCTCGGGGTACCTCATTTAATCTTCACACCCCCTGTGAAGGAGGAGCTACCTATAGTTCCTTTTACAGGTGAGGGAAACTGAGGCACTGGCAGAGCAAGTTAAATTCCAGAAGGCCCGAGGCCGGTGGACAAAGCCAGACATGAACGCAAGGCATGTGAAGCCAGAGGCCCCGGTCTGAGTGTCTGTCTTATTGCTCAGTGGAACCGCGCTTGCTCGGGGCCGCTTCGCTCCAGAGGTGCTGGACGGATGTTTTCCCTATTCTAGACCTTCACATAAATTGAACCATGGAATTACGTCATCTTTTGTGTCTGGTTTATGAAATACTTTCTAATTGTCATCCAGTAAAAAATACAAAAAACGGCTACGTTGTTCTAATGGAGTATTTACTATATGCCAGGACCAGGACATAAATTACCCAGTTTACTCTTCATAACCCCGCGCGGTACTCCACTTTTATCTTACAGATGAGCAAACTGGAGCTGAGAGAGTTAAGCAACTTTCCTGAGGTCGCACTGCTCCGAAGTAAGCAGGGGTGCCGGAAGCTGAATCCCAGCAGTCCAGCTCCAGGGCCGGGACAGCAGCCATCGCCACCCTCTTTTCTCCCTGGGGATTTTGTAGAGCAGCTTCCTGCACGTTCTCAGTGAGTCACCTTTGCGGCCTTCGTAAGTACTATAGGATTTGGTTGAGTCACCATGTACCTTTGTACGGGAAAGATAAAGTTGTTCCCACCCCAGAAACAAAATGAGAAAAATGGGTTCTACTGTGGTGACAGCTACACAACTCTATGAATTTTCTAAAAAATAATGGAGTTGTATACTCACTGGGGATGAATTTTTATGATTATGTAATTATATCTCAAGAAAGGTGCTGGGGATCAAACCAAGGGCCTTGGGCATGCTAGGCAAGTGCTCAGCCACTGAGCTACATCTCCAGGGGGATCTGTTTTTTATTTTTTTTTGTTTGTTTGTTTGTTTTTTTGGGTTTTTTTTGTTTTTCTCCGGTACCGGGAACCGAACTCACGACCTTGCACTTGCCAGGCAGGCGCTTTTGCCACTGAGCTAAATCCCCAGACCCGGGATCTGTTTTTTAAAACCTGCTACCACAAGTGGCATCAAACCACAGGTATGGTACTGTAAGGGGCGTAGAAGTTGTTTAATTCTAGTCCCCCTGATAGTCTCTGACACATCCCCACCACCACCCCACTCCTGTTTATGCTTTGCTCTTTGAACCTTGGTTTCCTGTCTAGGTACAGATTCTACTCTGCATTAGTCATGCTTGGTGCCACTTTTTAAAATTTATTGGTCCCTAAATTAATATTGCACCAATTATCTTGTTAGTGACTTCCTTCCCATATGCTTTGTTATTCTGTCTTGTGACTTTCAACTCTTCAGATTTTCAGGAGATGGAAAACTCGACTCTAATTACTTACATGATAATATGTAATGTGTTATAATGAGGATCAAATTTGATTTTTCAAAAATCTGTGCTTATAGCTGGAGATTGGTTGGGGTTTTGGTCAGTTTTTTTTAACATCAGGAATCAAATCTGAAGCCCTGTGTGTTATAAATTCATGTCACTATATAACCAACACGTGTTTTAATTGTAACCACTGAATGAGCAAACATGTTCTAGCCACTGAACGTCTAATCAAATTTGCTTTTCTGCTGGAAGATGTCAACTTTCTTTTCCCCCATATGTGAGATTTTGCAAGATCATGAATCACGAGTATAAACAGCTTTCTTCAAAGAACAGTTAGAATAGACTCATTTTTAAAAACAGAATATCCTTTGCCAGTTTCCTGAAATCGCTGCACTCTGAATAGTCAGGTGAGATTATTACTCAGATGTTCCAGGTCCCACAAGTAACCAGCACTGGGATCAAGAGTGATCTCAGAATTGTTTCGTGTTTTTAATAACATTTCTTCAGTAATTTTACAGTGAAATTATTCTTTTTTTTATTTTAAAGAGTAAAAGAAGGATAACATAGTAATAGGGGGGCTTACCAAATTACAAAGTGGTAGGAAATTATCAATGGTTGCTGTTTTACATATTGTTATCTACAAGATAGTTTCTCAGGAAAACAAATGGACAAATAATAGTGAATTACAAACAAAAGTAGGAGATTATCAATGGTTGTTGTGCTATACTTTGGTATCTTCAAAGTGGTTTCTAAAGAAAATAAATGGAGCAATACATGAGTGACCAATTGAATATTCATTGACTATTCTCAATGGTTGTTGTAGGAAACACATAGTAATAAACATAATCCATTTACAAAATAGGATAGGAACAATACAAACATTACAGAGTTATGGACAGATTAGTAGGAAAATATCAATGGCTGCTGTAATACCTGGTTGTATCTTCAAAGTGGTTTCTCAGGAAGACAGAGATACACAAGAAAGATCTAACAAGTAGTTACAGCCTAATGGTTGTGAAAGATAGCGTATTACCTCCTCACCAGTGACTCCTTCCACTGAGATGGGATGGCTGGAAGGAAGACCAGGATTGAAAAGAAGGACTGAGAGACTTGCACCTGTGTCTAGCAACAGGCTGTTTTCTTTTTCCTCTATAGTCATGATTACCCGGGGCTCCTCCATGGAGATGGTAGTCTGGCCAGAGGGAGAAAGCAGAGTATGCCCCGGGCCTCCTCATTCCTGTTAGACTAACTGGTAGGATGGGTCTGAGCTCTGAGGCCTCCACTTCAGAGGGCAGACCAATCTCTAGTGGTCACCTTTGCATTCAGAGTGTGGCCCAGGGGGCTTCTTAGGGTAGTTCCTCTTGAGGTGGCCTGGCTTTTAACAGCAGTAGCAGATGAATGCAGTCGTCAAGTTCTTCTTGGGGCCCCGAGAATCAGACTTAGGGTCTGTTTCTCTTAGTGCTGCAGCAAAGGCAGTTGCTTTTTCTCAGTCTCTTTGTTTTCTCTCCTTGGCCTCCTCCTTGTCATGGCTATAGAATACTGAGGAGGCAATTCTTACTAACCTCTCAAGTGAGCCATCTGGGGTGAAAGCCATTTTTTGTAGCTTTTTTCTCCAGCCTCCCAGCGCATTGGGACCCTGCAAGCACTTAGTGTCCTCTCCCCAACCACGAACACAGACAGCAGGAATCTCAGTGCAGACCTCTCTGGAGCTCCACGCACTCCTCCACTGCAGCCTGTACTGTCAGGGAATGAATGGCTTCCAGGGGGTCTCCCCAGGTATTGCTCAAGATCCTCCTGGTTTACAGCTTCTGAACGGCTCTCATGACCCTGGTCAACTAGACCTCGTAGCCTATATTCTCGTGTTCTCTGAGTCCTTGTTCAGCAGCTGCTCCTCTGCTGACTCTGGACCTTTCTGGTTCTCAGCAGCAGGGGCAAGAGAGACCCGTTGTGTGGCATGTATTCCCAGGGGTTTCTCCATGTCAGGATGATTCACACACATCCCCAGGTGGGCCTCCACGGGTGGCACGTGGTGGGCCAATTGTGTCATTGCTTCTCTGTGCCATGATAGTTCTCGACCACACAGCCGTGGCTTCCTGGGCACCAATTGCCCACCACGCAGCTTCCCAGGGGCCCTATTCTTTTTTATTAGTACATGTTTGAGATATGCAGTGTTTACATCCAGTGAGGTTTTGAGACATACACATATCACATCTTGGTCGTGTTTGCTCTGTGCCCTACCCACCCTACCCTCTCCCTTCTTCCCCATATCGAAGGGATTGTTTGATTGTAAAGCCACATATATTGGGAGTTGCTTGAGTTTCAAAAGAAATCTAATGATCTGGGTGTGGTGGTGCACCCCTGTAATCCCAGCACTCGAGGAGGCTGAGGCAGGAGGATCTTTATGAGTTTGAGACCAGCCTGGGCTACAAAGTAAGTGCAAGGCCAGCCAGAACTGCATAGTGAGACCCTGTCTCAAAAACAAAAGAAAAAAAAAAGAAATTGAATGTCCCTGACAACCTAATCTTTACTATTTCTGAAGTTGTTACCTTTAGCTAATGTAGGCTTTTTTTTTTCATTGATGCTTGATTTAAGTAAACATTACACCTTCATCATTTGTGTAGAGGGAGAAGCTCAAGTATATTCAGCAAGTTCTCATTATAAATCCTGGGTTTGTCAATGCGTTTGCCTCACATTCATGCCTTAACTCCTCAGAGAAAACTTCCTCTGGGAGAGAATATCCCTGCTCTTTCTGTCTCGCTCTGCTCCACCCTCCTGCTGTCTCCAGTCCAACTTGCTCACTTTTTTTTTTTTTTTTTTTTTGGAGATAGGGTCTGGCTGCATAGTTCAGGCTGCCCTTGAATTCACTGTGTTACCCAGTCTGCCTCAAACTTTTCAAAACCCTCCTTCCTCAGCCTCCAGTGCACTGGGATTACAGGCCTGCACCACCTGGACAGCCAGCCTGCACTACATAGTAAGTTCAAGGCCAGCCTGAACACACAGCAAGAACCTGTCTGAAGAAACCAAATAAATAAATAAACCAATAAGAACACATAGGAACTCTGTGGCAGAGGCTGTCCAATACCACCTGCTGTTCGTTCTCCCTTCGCTCCACTAGAAAGGGAACCTGATTTTATATAGGGCAGCACAGTGCCCAGCTAAAAGGCTGTTTGTTTCCAAGGACTCCTTTATAATTAAGAAAAACCAATATAACAATTGCAGGCTAATAGAATATATTATATTGTATTTGACTTCCAGGAAGGCTATTTGAAGGGACCCAAATGCGGCATATGTTCTTTTGCTCCAGTGTTCTGCTCCCACTCCCACTTCCCATAGCCTAAAATAGTTGTGATGGTTGGAGCTGCTGCTTCCCTATTGGACCATGAGGAAAGACCTTGAGAATGGAAATCATAATCTAGAATAACTGAACAAAAAGACAAGAGGCAAAGTTCCTAATAACTATTGAACTGCCGACCCTGAGGCATGGCCTTGGGGTCTGTGTCTGCCCCGGCCCCTTCCTCTCTGGCCCTGTGCCTCTGCTCTGCTTCCTGGCGGCCACAAACTGATCAGCTTTACTCACCCAGGCCCTTCCGCCATGATGTTTCTGCCTTGGAGCCAGCTGACCATGGACTGAACCCCCCAAACCGTGACCTAAATTAAATCTTTCCTCTTATAGGTTGTGTCAAGTATTGTGTCATAGCAACAGATAACCTGACTAATACAATTGTTGTCCCCCACATTCATATGCTAGAACCTCATACTCACTGTGGTAGTACGAAGAGGTGGGATCTTAAACTGCACGGGAAATACTTCAAAGAATCAACAACTGGGATCTCCTCGTATTGAAAAGTTTTTGCACATCAAAAGAAATAACCAAACAGAGTAAAACAAAAACACATGAATTGGGAAAAAATTATTTAGCCAACTGCCCCTCAGGCAAATGACTACTATCTAGAACATGTAAAGAATTTCAAAAATCAGGCTCCCCAAGTTCAAAGAGCCAATCCAAAAATGGGCATCTGAGATGAATACACACTTCTCCGGTGAAGAAATACAAATGGCAAATATATGAAAAAATGTTCAATGTCATTGGTCATTTGAGAAATGCAAATTAAAACAACACTGAGACTCCATACTGACCCCAGAAAGAACGGCTATTACCAAGAAATCAATCAATAACATGCTTGGGGGGGAATATGGGGAAAAAGAAACTCTTCTCCACTGTTGGTGGGAGTGTAGACTGGTG